TGCTGTCACTGACATAGATGTTGATGATGTTGTAAGTAAGAGTAACCCTACTGTTGACAGTGATGTTGCTGTCACTGACACAGATGTTGATGATGTTGTAAGTAAGAGTGACCCTACTGTTGACAGTGATGTTGCTGTCACTGACATAGATGTTGATTGTGTTGTAAGTAAGAGTAACCCTACTGATGACAGTGATGTTGCTGTCATTGACGTAGATGTTGATGGTGCTGTAAGTAACAGTAACACTATTGATGGCAGTGATGTTGCTGTCACTGACTTAGATGTTGATGGTGTTGTAAGTAACAGTTACACTATTGATAGCAGTTATATTGCTATCACTGACATAGATGTTGATGATGTTGTAAGTAACAGTAAAACTATTGATAGCAGTTATATTGCTATCACTGACATAGATGTTGATGATGTTGTAAGTAACAGTAAAACTATTGATAGCAGTTATATTGCTATCACTGACATAGATGTCGATGGTGTTGTAAGTAACAGTAACACTATTGATATCAGTGATGCTGCTGTCATGGACATACATGTTGTTAATGTCATTGATGTAAATGTCGATGATGTTGATAATGATGTTGAAGGAAATGATAATGATGTTGATAATGTTAATGACAATGATGGTGACGAAGATGATGTGGTGAATGATGGTGTTCGTTCAACAATTCTAAATTGTCTCTCTGTGAATGTATGTGGACTTAGAAAAAGATTAGAATATAATGAATTCGTATCCCTGATTGCAGAAAATCACATTGTGGGCTTTCAGGAGACTAAAACTGATTTTCTTGATGAGATTGATATTGAAAACTTCACAGTTTACCTTAAGCATCGACAAAAGGCATTAAGAACATCTGGTGGATTAGGGATTGCAGTTAGAAATAATCTTAAGGATTATATATCTGTTGTAGAAGATGACAATGAGTATGTGCTATGGATCAGAGTATGTAAGTCACTTGTAAATATTAATCAAGACTTGTACTTTGGTTGCGTATATATACCCCCAGAGGGTTCGAGATATGTGCATCATGATGTATTTACAGAACTTGAGACATCAATCCTTAATCTTGCTTCAGTGAGCGATTACATTATTGTGTTTGGAGATTTTAACGCAAGGACTAGAAATTTGAGTGATTTTAGTGCATTTGATGAACACATTATAGATGAATTTGGACTAGACTTAAATGAACTGAATATTGAACTTAAGCCACAATTGGTTCTAGACGAACTGAACCTACCTCATGAGAGATCAACAAAGGATATAGATAGGACAAATAATTTTGGAGTCAAACTTATCGACATGTGTAAACATCTTAATTTACTAATATGTAATGGTCGTTTGGGAAAAGATCATAAGGTTGGTAAGGCAACCTGTAAAGACAGATCTGTGGTTGATTATGTTATAACTACTCCCCTCTGTCTATCACATTTTACAAATTTTGAAATCTTAGATTACTCACCCCTATTTTCTGATGTGCATTGCCCCGTAAAGTTCTCATTCAAGGCCACAATTCCCCAGACAGATATGCAAACACATCCAAAAGGTAATCCAGATAGAAATCCATTTGAAAGTAGAAAACCGAAACGATATGACTCTGATTTATCCTTCACATTTCAAAACAACATCAATCAAGGCAAGGTGTGTGAACTGATTGAGCGCGCACGTGCAGCGCGTGGATCACAGGTAAATGAACAGGTGATCAACAGCGTGACTCGTGATATCGGGAATGTGCTTATTGACGCAGCCTGTACAACATTTGGAGAAAAGAAATATATAAAATTAAATGCCATTCATTCAAAAATACGGATAAGCCCTGGTTTGGTCAAGAATGCCGGAACAGTAGAAAATTATTCCAAAAGCCAAATATAAAGTTAAAAATCAAATTCAGCTATTGATAGAGCACATTTTCGACTAATGTCAAAAACTATAAAAATGTTTAGATAAACACATACGAAACTATCAACATCAAATAAATGATCTATTCCGGAAGAATAAGAAGAGCTCGCCTAGAGAATATTGGAAAATGCTCAACAAAGCGCACGGTAAACAAACTGAAAATACCCCTGATGTTGACACTTTTACAAATATTTTGTTGGAATAAGTGAGGAATTCGAACCAAACGAGGCTGATCTCGACGAGAAATTGACTGAGACATGTATTTTCAATACTGAGACCCTTAACAGCGACATTTCACGAGAAGAAATAAAACTTGGTAAAACAAATAAAAAGAAATAAAGCATCGGGCGTTGATTTAATCGAAAATGATTTTCTGATTGACTCAACAGATCTACTTATGCCTCTGTTTTTAGAACATTTCAACCTTGTACTATCATCGGGTATTCTACCGGAGTCGTGGGTTACTGGCGTTGTTAAGCCAATCTATAAAGGTAAAGGGTGTAAACTGGATCCCAACTCGTACAGACCTATAACAATTTTAAGTTGCCTTGGTAAACTTTTTACAAGAGTGTTAAATAACAGACTGAATACATTTTTAGATACTAACAATATACTTAACCCAACACAGGCAGGCTTCAGACAAGGGTTCTCAACATGTGATAACATTTTTACTATGCAAATGATGATCCAAATACTAAAACTCTCTAAAAAGAAACTATATACGGTATTTGTAGATTTCACTAAAGCATTTGATAAAGTCTGGAGAATTGGGTTGTGGCATAAACTAACAAAAACTGGGATAGATGGGAGATTTTTCACACTCATAAGAAATATGTATCACAACATAAAATCTAGGGTAATGATTGGAAATACCATATCAGATGAATTCCCGTGTTACGAGGGTGTGCGACAAGGTGAAAACCTGTCGCCCCTTTTGTTCTCGATATACCTAAATGATCTTGAACAACACCTCCTTGATAGTAGTTGTACTGGTTTTAAATATGAAACGCAAACTAACAGCATCGACCTCTTATACCATTTTATTATATTGTTATATGCAGATGACGCTGTACTGTTCAGCGAAAATCCAAATGATTTACAAAAATCCCTGAATGTCTTCTTTCATTACTGTAAGAAATGGAAACTTAAAGTAAACTTATCTAAAACGAAAGTTGTTATCTTTGGAAGCGGCCCCGCGAAATCTTCGAAACTCCACTTTACCTACGGAACTGAAACTATAAATATTGTAGATACATACGATTACCTTGGAATTAAATTCCATAGGAATGGGCGATTTGTCCAAGCAATTAAATCACTTACGGAAAGCGCCACCAAAGCAATGTATTGTCTTTTAAAGAAATCCAGGAATGTTAATTTACCTTTAGATTGCCTTTTCGATGCATTTGATGTTATGGTCGTTCCAATTCTATTGTATGGCTCAGAAATATGGGGACACGAGAACTTAGAAATAATAGAAAGAATTCACTTAAAATTTCTGAAATTAGCTTCCGGTTTGAGAAATAGCACCCCAAGTTATATGCTTTACGGTGAATTTGGAAGAGAGCCTTTGAGTATTAAAATCTATAAGCGATTTATTTCACATTGGCATAAATTAGCCTCTGAGAACACATATTGGAAGCCATCCCAGATTATATATAACTGTGTTAACCACATCTGTGACAATACAAATAAAGTTCCATGGCTACGTTTTGTGAAATATATCCTTGATAACTGCGGTCTATCCTACGTGTTTCTAAATCCGTCTGTATGTTCTACGCCCTGGCTTGTCTCAATGGTCGAAAACACCTATAGAGCCCAGTTTTTCCAAAATTGGAAGTCAAATGTTGATTCTAGTTCCAAGGGGATTATTATAAATATTTCAAAACTCAACCAATCTTAGAAAAATATCTTCTTCTTCCAAAAATATATACTACCCAATTTTGAAGTTTAGAACATCTAACCATAAATTACCAATTGAGACAGGCCGATGGTTGGGCATTCCACGTGAAGACAGACAATGTCCACTTTGTGAATCAAACGCTGTTGGAGACGAGTTTCACTACTTGTTTAGATGTGAAGCTTTTCTCCAATTCCGACGTCAGTCTCTGAACACTAAATACCTAGAATTTCCAAATTTGTCCATCTTTAAGAAACTCTTGTCTACTACCAGCATAAGCGACCTTAAAGGCCTTTCTAAATTACTGAACCATGTATTTAATGCATTTAAAAAATGAAATATTGTAATTATCTTATATCTTTCTATCGTGTAAGCTGCTGTCTTGTATATTATGTAAATGTATATACGTTTATCTCATGTACCGCCGTTGGCGGTTTGTAGAGAATAAAGAGTTTGAGTTTGAGTCTTATCCCTATTTCGAGTTATTTAAATTATTCATCGTTCTCATTTGAACTCGAACGGATTGTGTGATCTATCATATGTTGAGAGGGTGTCGCACACGGTGGCTGGGGTCGGGCTGGGGGATAGATATATCAGCTAAGATAAGATAATCCTCTAGGGGAATTAAACTGGTGAAGTAAACGGCATGTCATAACAATTTACAAATAATGTCCAGTCCTGTCGATCTTCGGGTGGATATGCCACCTATATATTTTGAGACATTTAATACGTTTTGCCGAGTAAACATGCTTTTCTTGACATCCTATTAGGCCGATGTGGGTTATTTCGACATACAGGGATACAAAGTTATTTGAAACCTCCGTATGAACGTTCGTTTGATACCTGCGGCTAATATCCAATTAAAGTCGTCATTTGAAACGTCAGGTGTTGATTCCGTAACTGAAACAGTGAGTGAATGCATTAGTCTAAATATAGCTCAGCACTGATTCCTGTTTAGCGTCAACAGAAAAATGGTGACACATTTGAAACACTGAATAACAGTGCCACAAAAACACAATACTCAGGCAAACAGCGTTACTTAATTCACAGAGAATGGACATTTGTGTCGAACTTAACTTACAGAATCGAATCCCTCAGACTACATTCTATTTTATTGTAGCTTTTTAACATGGGATATTCTTTTTTCAATTCTGTAAAATGCAACATGCTCACTCATTTGTCCTTTGTTTTAGTATGGGGGTAACAGACCACCGACATTCCGAGAGGGTGTTCTTCAAAAACATGGGTCTAGGTGCCTCCGACACCGACTCATTCCACCCCAAGTTTGACGTGTACATCCGACATTCCTCCAGTTGGAAGGTCCGAACGCTGAAGTCCATTATGAAGCTACTGGGGCATGAGAAGGTTTGTAGTCCTGCGCTGGAATTATAGAAGCACGGGCCTATTTGTTGTGTATAGTTGTCGCTCTTAGTTGCGTCAGAATCTTACGATCCGAAATACACATTCTCTCGTCATCTATGACATACATAACAGCTCTCTTTCAAAACCAACTGACACTCAGTGATGCACGAAATATATTAGAAATAATGTTGTATACTAACTGTACCTGAAATACTGTTCTATACTAAGTCTAGGTGAAATACTGTTCTATGCTAACTGTACCTGAAATACTGTTCTATACTAAGTCTAGGTGAACTACTGTTCTATGCTAACTGTACCTGAAATACTGTTCTATACTAAGTCTAGGTGAACTACTGTTCTATGCTAACTGTACCTGAAATACTGTTCTATACTAAGTCTAGGTGAAGTACTGTTCTATACTAACTGTACCTGAAATACTGTTCTATACTAAGTGTAGGTGAAATACTGTTCTATACTAAGTGTAGGTGAACTACTGTTCTATGCTAACTGTACCTGAAATACTGTTCTATACTAAGTCTAGGTGAAATACTGTTCTATACTAAGTCTAGGTGAAATACTGTTCTATACTAAGTGTAGGTGAATTACTGTTCTATACTAACTGTACCTGAAATACTGTTCTATACTAAGTGTAGGGTAAAAGTGAACCTGGAAATACTGTTCTATACTAAGTGTAGGTGAAATACTGTTCTATACTAAGTGTAGGTGAACTACTGTTCCATGCTAACTGTACCTGAAATACTGTTCTATACTGTGTCTAGGTGAAATAACTAGGTGAAAAGTCTAGGTGGGAAATACTGTTCTATGCTAGCTGTACCTGAAATACTGTTCTATACTAAGTCTAGGTGAAATACTGTTCTATACTAAGTGTAGGTGAAATACTGTTCTATACTAACTGTACCTGAAATACTGTTCTATACTAAGTGTAGGTGAAATACTGTTTCTATACTAGGTGAAATGTGGGTGACTAAGTGTAGGTGAACAACTGTTCTATGCTAACTGTACCTGAAATACTGTTCTATACTAAGTCTAGGTGAAATACTGTTTCTATACTAAGTCTAGGTGAAATACTGTTCTATACTAAGTGTAGGTGAAATACTGTTCTATACTAAGTGTAGGTGAAATACTGTTCTATACTAAGTGTAGGTGAAATACTGTTCTATACTAAGTCTAGGTGAAATACTGTTCTATACTAAGTGTAGGTGAAATACTGTTCTATACTAACTGTACCTGAAATACTGTTCTATACTAAGTGTAGGTGAAATACTGTTCTATACTAACTGTAGGTGAATTACTGTTCTATCTAACTGTACCTAAGTACTGTTCTATGAAATACTGTGAAATCTTTTATACTAAGTCTAGGTGAAATACTGTTCTATACTAAGTCTAGGTGAACTACTGTTCTATACTAAGTGTAGGTGAACTACTGTTCTATACTAACTGTACCTGAATTACTGTTCTATACTAACTGTATCTGACACACGCATGCACGTCGTCATATGAGCGAAACAAACCTTCCAGAATGTTCCATACTGTGCCGGATGTAATATGGTATAATAAACACACGCACTTGTCCCTTATATAGTCACAAATCTTCCAGAATGTTCCATACTGTGCCGGATGTAATATGGTATAATAAACACACGCACTTGTCCCTTATATAGTCACAAACCTTCCAGAATGTTCAATACTGTGCCGGATGTAATATGGTATAATAAACACACGCACTTGTCCCTTATATAGTCACAAACCTTCCAGAATGTTCCATACTGTGCCGGATGTATAATAACGCATGGTATAATACACACACGCACTTGTCCCTTATATAGTCTTATATGATCACAAATCTTCCAGAATGTTCAATACTGTTCCGGATGTAATATGGTATAATAAACACACGCACTTGTCCCTTATATAGTCACAAATCTTCCAGAATGTTCCATACTGTGCCGGATGTAATATGGTATAATACACACACGCACTTGTCCCTTATATAGTCACAAACCTTCCAGAATGTTCCATACTGTTCCGGATGTAATATGGTATAATAAACACACGCACTTGTGCCGGATGTTATATAGACTTGTCCCTTATATAGTCACACCTTCCAGAAATCTTCCAGAATCCATACTGTGCCGGATGTAATATGTATAATAATACACACGCACTTGTCCCTTATATAGTCACAAACCTTCCAGAATGTTCAATACTGTGCCGGATGTAATAATGGTATAATACTGTGCCGGATGTAATATGGTATAACACACGCACTTGTCCCTTATATAGTCACAAACCTTCCAGAATGTTCCATACTGTGCCGGATGTAATATGGTATAATAAACACACGCACTTGTCCCTTATATAGTCACAAATCTTCCAGAATGTTCCATACTGTGCCGGATGTAATATGGTATAATACACGCATAATATGTCCCTTATATAGTCACAAATCTTCCAGAATGTTCCATACTGTGCCGGATGTAACATGGTATAATCCTTATATAGTCGCAAACTTGTCCCTTATATAGTCACAACACGCACTTCCAGAATGTTCCAGAATACTGTGCCGGATGTAATATGGTATAATAAACACACGCACTTGTCCCTTATATAGTCACAAATCTTCCCGAATGTTCCATACTGTGCCGGATGTAATATGGTATAATACACACACGCACTTGTCCCTTATATAGTCACAAACCTTCCCGAATGTTAAACATACTGTGCCGGATGTAATATGGTATATAATAAACACACGCACTTGTCCCTTATATAGTCACAAACCTTCCAGAATGTTCCATACTGTTCCGGATGTAATATGGTATAATAAACACACGCACTTGTCCCTTATATAGTCACAAATCTTCCAGAATGTTCCATACTGTGCCGGATGTAATATGGTATAATACACACACGCACTTGTCCCTTATATAGTCACAAACCTTCCAGAATGTTCCATACTGTGCCGGATGTAATATGGTATAATAAACACACGCACTTGTCCCTTATATAGTCACAAACCTTCCAGAATGTTCAATACTGTGCCGGATGTAACATGGTATAATACACACACGCACTTGTCCCTTATATAGTCACAAACCTTCCAGAATGTTCCATACTGTGCCGGATGTAATATGGTATAATACACACACGCACTTGTCCCTTATATAGTCACAAACCTTCCAGAATGTTCCATACTGTTCCGGATGTAATATGGTATAATAAACACACGCACTTGTCCCTTATATAGTCACAAACCTTCCAGAATGTTCCATACTGTGCCGGATGTAATATGGTATAATACACACACGCACTTGTCCCTTATATAGTCACAAACCTTCCAGAATGTTCCATACTGTGCTGGATGTAGTGTGAGATATAAAGACATGCTCTTGTAATAAAAGTACTGTCGGAAATAGAAAATAACCGTTTTTAGGCTGTTACTCTGTATCCCGAAATAGCATTTGCTGAAATAACCCGCATCGGCCTAACTGGGCGTTCAGTGGGATGCGTAATAGGATATCCAGTAAAGCATGTTTACTCGTAAAACTGCGCAAAACTTAAGAAAAATACGCATAGCTGCTGAAAACAATAGATCAGACTACAGATGGCAATTAGGTCCCTCAGCCAGGTATGACGACGGACCGGCATGAAATGCATGTGCTGCCTACAGGCACAAGGGGTCGTCTCAAAGATATGTTATGCTTTTACATGTGTTGACTATGTCTCATCCATTGATTAAAATCTTACGTGTCTTTCTTTCATAAAGTTTATGTTGAGATAAGTTCTACATAGTCCTCAGACTCTCCCACATGGTATCCGTCAGAGGTATGACGACGGATCTGACACGACCGACGTCGACGCCATCACGCTGTCGATAGGCTGCCTCGATGCCCAAACATGGTCCTCTGCCTTTTGCCATACTACTGGTGTAATTCTGGCAAAAGATGCATGGACAAGATCTTTGACATCGGACATCCGAAAGGACGTGTTGTGACTGGCTACAAAGCCCTTACAGTAGACATCAGCGTATCCATATCAAGAGCCATGCTTGTGATTGCATTCAGCACAGTATGAAATAATAGTGATAGTGAGACTCCATGGCAGCTACATCCTTAATAGTTTCAGTATTAAAGTTATTATTTCTTACATGGCTACCGTTTATAATGAAGCTAAGTGTAATTTCAAAATGGACATTAAAACAGTGGCCTTTGTAATACAATATCCTCGCACACTAATTTGCATAAAGCCATGGTCTGTTCCAAATACATGTAAGTCGATTTGGACAGCATTGCTCATTTCTGCACAAATCTCCCCTCAGTAAAGTCCCTTTTTTACGTTTCCTATCTCCCTACCACCGAGACTGTAGTTAGGCCGAACTTAGTTTAACATATATTTCACGCTTTCACATATTAAATACATTAATTGTAGATTAAATTACATGCAATAAAATAAATAAATCTGTTCAGGTCATTAACATACAGTTTCAGCACCGTGGGTTGTAACGTGACCTGTTTCTGTTTTCATTGGCAGCGTGTGATCGATGTATTGAAGATCGATATCGAGGTGTACGAGTGGGCTGTGACAGACAACATCATGAAGGACGGGCTGTTTCCCCAAATCCGCCAGTTTCTGGTGGAGTGGCACATCTTCCCAAACGAACCATTCAGAAATCGCTTCCAGGATATGTACAATACCTACATGAGCCTGAGGAAGAATGGATTCCAGTTCTACCACAAGGAGAGCTCCTCCCGGTACCACCATTACCGGTACTGGAACTCACAGGCTGATATGTGTTACGTAAACACCCTCTTCAAGGAACCCAGATAACACTTCCGTCATGCGCAGAACGGAATCAGCATGGGCACATCGGAAGTGAGCTGTGTGATATATCCTCGAGCAGGATCCGGGGTATTTTTAGACGTAGGTACAGCTTGTATGTCTGAAGGAGAGGCACTCTTTGTACAAGAACCCAGTGGAATCCTACATCACAGAAGCCACTTGATGCTGTAAGTTGTATGCTTCTCTCGAGGGTAATACGGTCTGATGTACGCCTCTTTGTAGCAGTGTCATCCCTCGCCTACCGGCTCGGTACATCAGACCGTATTACCCTCGAGAGAAGCATACAACTTATAGTATCAAGTGTGGCTTCAACCGAGCCGGTAGGCGAGGGATAACACTGCTACAAAGAGGCGTACATCAGACCGTATTACCCGAGGGAGAAGCATACAACGTATTTATCTTACCGCCATGTTAAATGTACAAACTGTCATTTTATTTTATTATAAAGATCGCTTCAGACTATATGACATGTAAACAAAATGGCGTCTGCCCCGCGACTGGAATTTTAAATCATTGAAACATATTCTGACAAGGTTAACACTGGTATAAAAATGGTTAATTATGTTTGAGTGTGCAAACGATTCAATGTATAACATAGTTTAAATAAAGCAGTGAAAGTCGGTAAAATAAATCTGTACATAGTGAACTCCAAAACAGCTAATCGAACGGTTTTAGAACTCCGGACACTGCATGCGTCATATTATGACGTCATACGATTGTTAGCATACAGCTTCTCGGCGGAGAGTTTGGCGGTTACCGTGGCGGCGTGTAATATTTTTTCCAGTTGTCACCCTCCTGGGAGGGGTGACACGGAAACTTATCTTGCCTCACACATAAATGTCGTTTTCTGATTGGTTGAGCGCTCTTCTACTATTTTCAATGTACCTCGCATACAAGCGAGTAACAGTTTTTATGTACCCCGCTGGGTATGCCGAACTCATTTGGTACTTCGTAGTGGTAATTCGTTATCTCGAATAACAGTGAATTACGTATGATGTATGGAAATTACCGAACCGATGTTTTGCGAATGCAAATCGATGGAAGGGAGATAACTCTAAATTTGTTTTTCTTATCGTCTGGTACTCCAATACTATGATCCGATACCGGTGCTTCAAACAGTTCAAAATTACCATTGAGGTGTTCGGTAAGATAAATACGTTGTTCACTGGTCCCTCGGGGCCCATGGGTTGATGTACCCTCGATGTTTCTTTATGTTCCCCTCGCCCTTCGGGTGTGTGTGTGTAGAAGACTGATCAGGTGTTGTGGTCTGTTCATTTTTTAGCCTTATTGTCATTTGTGTAGTTTTCAGAGTGTTGTTTCAGTATGTTGTTTGGATTAAGTGTTGTTTATGCATGAAAGTTATATACATCGAAGATACCTTGCTACACTAGGATATTAGAATGATGGGAGGGCAGTTCAAATCTCGCGCGATATGCATGGCCACATTTTTTAGATGTGGCGGTTCCATGATATATATTGATTGGCGTGAATAATACATCAGTAGAACTGGATGGAATTAGGTGATATTTTCCTGGGTTGTGACCTTGACCTTGTGACCAACTAACCTTGACCCGATGTAACCTTTTGTTGAGGGTCAAATCCATCATTCATGAGATGCCAGAGACACATAAGAGTTCCTGATATCAGTATCATTCCATGTGTTCGAATTAAATTATAATAAATGCGAATAAAATATTTTTTAAAATGACAGCAGTTCTATTATTATCAGTTGTGAGTACGTCCATGGGTAATTACTCCCCACCCCACCCCCTTCAAAAGATATATCTAAAAATACGTACATGTCACTTATTAGCATATATACTCATGGGAACAAATAAGGGACCACCTGAAAGTACGAGTGTTCCTTTATTCTTTTCCAGGTTTCTTCACAAGGTATGTATTGCACTGTGTTTGAAATTCTGGAACTAAATTAAGGAACACTTGTACTTCATGTGTTCCCGTATTTGTTTCCATGAGTATATATGTAGGACTCGGATCCATGGCAGGCCTCAAATCCGTGGCGGATTTCCAAATCCATGACAGAGTTTCAAATCCATGGCTAGTTGCCGTAGGGTGTTATCGGTGCAATAAAGCAATCTGATAAACCTGGTATCCAAATCTGACAACGATGCAAATTACGTCATTATCTATATCTCTTATGAAGCCCTGTAGTACGTATTGCAGATCAGCAGTTTGTACAGAACATGGGTGATTGAATTACAGGTGTTGCAATTTCCTAATCTTTTAAACCAAGACATAGTGATATTCGCTTTGACTTTGAAAGATTTACACCAGTGTCTGTCTGTAAAATCACCAGTGGCCGAAGGGATGGTGTAAATCCAGCTAGGGTCTAGCTAGCAAAACTACTGTAAGTCCCCATCATCCCCAGCAGCATCGATCATCGGGTTAGGTAAGTCTGAGTGACAATCAAATAACAATGTTCCTTCTGGGAATTCCGGGTCGTTTGTTGTGTTTTCATTCGCCTTATAATTTCCATCTGGATAACGCCCTTTCGGTCCTTACAAATACTTCCTGACGTATAGTGAAATAACGTATATTAAAGTCATACAGTCTTTTTCTCAAATACAAGAAGGACTATATCATATTCTGTAAAGGACATATCCTATAGAGATACAGACACACATATCCTGTACACACACATATCCTGTACAGACACACATATCCTGTACACACATATCCTGTACACACACAGATATCCTGTACAGACACACATATCCTGTACAGACACATATCCTGTACAGACACATATCCTGTACACACACATATCCTGTACAGACACACATATCCTGTACACACATATCTATCCTGTACACAGATATCCTGTACACACACATATCCTGTACAGACACACATATCCTGTACACACACATACCCTGTACACACACATATCCTGTACACACACATATCCTGTAAACACACATATCCTGTAGGGACACACATATCAGGGACACACACATATCCTGTACACACATATCCTGTACACACACATATCCTGTACACGCACATATCCTGTACACACACATATCATGTACAGACACATATCCTGTATAGACAGATATCGTGTACACATACATATCCTGTACACACACATATCCTGTACACACACACATACACCACATATCCTGTACACACATATCCTGTAATAATAACACACATATCCTGTACACACATATATCCTGTACACACACATATCCTGTAGACACATATATCCTGTACACATATATCCTATATTCATATCATGTCACACATTCATATCCTGTACATACACACATATATACTATACACACACAGTAGACACACATATCCTGTACAGATACTCCTACACAGACACACATATCCTGTACACACACACATATCCTGTACACACACATATCCTGTATAATACACACATATCCTGTACACACACATATCCTGTACACACATATATCCTGTACAGACACACATATCCTGTAATAATACACACATATCCTGTACACACACACATATCCTGTACACACACATATCCTGTACACACACACATATCCTGTACACATACACATATCCTGTACAGACACATATCCTGTACACACAGACATATCCTGTACACACACATATCCTGTACAGACACACATATCCTGTACAGACACATATCCTGTATACACACATATCCTGTACAGACACACATATCCTGTACACACACATATCCTGTACACACACATATCCTGTACACACACATATCCTGTACACATACACACATATCCTGTACATATCCTGTAATAATAATACACACACATATCCTGTACAGACACATATCCTGTACAGACACACGTAACCGTACACACACATATCCTGTACACACATATTCAGTACAGACACACATATCCTGTACATACACAGTTATCCTGTACACACACATATCCTGTACAGACACACATATACTGTACAGACACATATCCTGTACACAGATATCCTGTACACACACATATCCTGTAAACACACATTTCCTGTAAACACATATCCTATATAGAGACACACATATCTTGTACATACACATTTTCTGTAGAAACACACATATCCTGTACAGACACATATCCTGTACACACATATCCTGTACACACACATATCCTGTACAGACACATATCCTGTACACACATATCCTGTACACACACACATATCCTGTACAGACATACATATCCTGTACACACACATATCCTGTACACACACATATCCTGTACACAGACACACATATCCTGTACACACATATATCCTGTACAGACACACATATCCTGTACACACACACATATCCTGTACAGAGACACATATCCTGTACACACACATATTCTGCACAGACACAGACATCCAGTACAGACACACATATCCTGTACACACACATATTCTGTACACACACATATCCTGTACAGAGACATATCCAGTACAGACACACATATTCTGTACACACACATATCCTGTACACACACATATCCTGTACAGACACACATATCCTGTACACACACACATATCCTGTACAGAGACACATATCCTGTACACACACATATCCTGTACACACACATATCCTGTACACACACATATCCTGTACACACACATATCCTGTACAGAGACACATATCCTGTACACACACATATTCTGCACAGACACAGACATCCAGTACAGACACACATATCCTGTACACAGACATATTCTGTACACACACATATCCTGTACAGAGACATATCCAGTACAGACACACATATTCTGAACACAGACATATCCTGTACACACACATATCCTGTACAGAGACACATATCCTGTACACACACATATTCTGCACAGACACAGACATCCAGTACAGACACACATATCCTATACAGAGACATATCCAGTACAGACACACATATCCTGTACAGACATATCCTGTACAGACACATATTCTGTACAGAGACACATATTCTGTACACAGACACATATCCTGTACAGAGACACATATCCTGTACAGAGACACATATCCTGTACACACACACATATCCTGTACAGACACACATATCCTGTACAGACACATATCCTGTACAGACACACATATCTTGTACACACCCATATCCTGTACACACACATATCCTGTACACACACACATATCCTGTACAGACACACATATCCAGTACAAACACACATATCCTGTACACACACATATCCTGTACAGAGACACATATCCTGTACACAGACACATATCCTGTACACACACATGTCCTGTACAGACACATATATCCTGTACAGGCACACATATCCTGTACACACATATCCTGTACACGCATATCCGGCACACACACATAACCTGTACACACACACATATCCTTTACACTCACACATATCCTGTACAGAGACACATATCCTGTACACACAGTTATCCTGTACAGACACAGATATCCTGTACACACACAGATCCTGTACACAGACATATCCTGTACACACACACATATCCTGTACAGACACTCATATCCTGTATACAGAGATATCCTGTACAGACACACATAACTTGTACACACACATATCCTGTACACACACATATCCTGTAAACACACATTTCCTGTAAACACATATCCTATAGAGACACACATATCCTGTACAGACACATATCCTGAACAAAGATACCCTGTACACACACATATCCTGTACAGACACATATCCTGTACACACATTTCCTGTACGCACACATACCCTGTACAGACACACATATTCCTGTACAGACACACATATCCTGTACACAAACATATCCTGGACACACATATCCTGGACACACACAAATATCCTGTACACACATATCCTGTACAGACACATGTCCAGTACAGACACACATATCCTGTACACACACATATCCTGTAAACACACATATCATGTACACGCACATATCCTGTACACACACATATCATGTACACACATATCATGTACAGACACATATCCTGTATAGACAGATATCGTGTACACACACATATCCTGTACACAGATTTCCTGTACACACACATATATCCTGTAATAATATTACACACATATCCTGTAGACACACATATCCTGTAGGGACACACATATATCCTGTACACACATATCCTGTACACACACATATCATGTACACACACATATCATGTATAGACACATATCCTGTATAGACAGATATCGTGTACACATACATATCCTGTACACAGATATCCATTTATTGTACATCCACACATATCCTGTACACACATTTATCCTGTACACACACATATATCCTGTAGCAGCACACACATATCCTGTACAGACACACATATCCTGTACACACACATATCCTGTATAGACACACATATCCTGTACACACACATATCCTACGGTTTCCTGGGATTATCCATTTTTGTGTGTGTCCATATCTTGTGTTTTCTGTGTCCATTTGTGTCCATTTTTTGGTTGTGTCCTGGATCCTGTGGTTTGTCCACTGGGATCCTGTTCCTTGTGCCTGTCTCCTGGGTCCTGTGGTTGTTTCCTTGTGTGTGTCCTGGGTTGTGTCCATGTCCGTGTGTATCCGTTGGTTCCATGGGTTGGGTTCCTGTGTGTGTGGGTTGGGATCGTGTGTTGTCTGTGTGTCCATGCCTGTGTTCCTTGTCTTGTCTGTGTCCTGGGCTTGTGTGTCTTTCATTTTCTGTGTGTGTTATCCTGGTTCCATATTCTGTGGGGTTATGTCTGGGTGTCTATGTCTGTGTCCTTGTCCATGTCTGTGTGTGTCATGTCTGGGTCATGTGTGTGTGTCCATGTCCTGGGTCTCCATATCCATGCATGTGTGTGTCTGGTTCTGTGGTTATCCATGTCTGTCCATGCACACATATCCATGTCTGTTACAGTACACATATCCTGTCTTGTGACTGTGAGCTTATCCTGGGGTGTGCCTGGTTCCTGGGATGTCATTTTGGGATCCTGGGTATTTTGGTTTCCTGTATGGGGATGTCCTGTATGCTGTTACATGTCCTGGGTCCTGTGTCCATTTCATGGATTCTGTGGGACCACATGTCCATAACTGGGCCATGATCCCAGACACATATCCTGTGTGTTTCCTTCAATATCCATATCCTTCTTATATCCATAAGACACATATCCTGTACACATCCATGTTTATCATCACACACACATATCCATGTCCATATGAACAAGATATTCCTTCCATAGATCTAGATATCCATATCTATACATATCTGAACCTGAATATCTTCGTGTCCATATACAGAAGATCTTCCTCTGTCATATCTTTTACTTCATATCCTGTCCCACATATGTTTCCTATTACCACATTTATCCCTGTATTATCACATCCATATCCCATACACATATATCCATGTAATCATGTCCATATATCCTAATTCAGTCCAATAATATATCCTGTAGATTCATATGGGTAATCCTCCATGCGTTCCTTCCATATTTTTTCCTGGGTTTCCTCCATGTGTGTCCTGTGGATGTGCGTTCCTTATGTTGTCCTGTTCTTGTCTGGTTGTCTGTGTCTATTTCTGTCTGTGGATCTCATGTCCTTGTCCATCCATGTCCTGTGGTTATGTCTGTTGGGTGTTGTTCACATGTCCATGTCTGTGTGGGGTTTCCTCTCCATGGGTCTTGTCCTGGGTTGTCCATGTCCATGTGTCCATTTTCAGTTTCCTGGGTGTCTGTGTCTGGGGTTCCATGTTTCCTTGTGTGTGTGTGTCCATTTTGGTCCTGTGTCCATGTCTTCCTGGGTGCTGTGTCCATGTGTTGGTCAAGTTGTCTGTGTTCAGATGTGTCTGTCTGTGTCTGTGGATTATTCCATTTTCCTTGTGTGGACCTGGTCTGGGATCTGGGTGTGTTCCTGTGTACACATATCCTGTACACACACATATCCTGTACAGAGACACATATACTATACACACACATCCTGTACAGATAGACATATACTGTACACAGACATATCCTGTACAGGCACACATATCCTGTACACACACATATCCTGTACACAGACACATATCCTGTACACACATATTTCGTACAGACACACATATCCTATACACACACATATCCTGTACAGAGACACATATCCTGTACACACACATATTCTGCACAGACACAGACATCCAGTACAGACACACATATCCTGTACACAGACATATTCTGTTCACACACATATCCTGTAGACACACACATATGCTGCACAGACACACATATCCTGTACACACACATATCCTGTACAGAGACACATATACTATACACACACATCCTGTACACATAGACATATACTGTACACAGACATATCCTGTACAGGCACACATATCCTGTACACAGACATATCCTGTACACACACATATCCTGTACACAGACACATATCCTGTACACACATATTTCGTACAGACACACATATACTCACACACATATCCTGTACAGACACACATATCCTGTACACACACATATTCTGTAAACACACATATCCTGTACAGACACACATATACACAGACATATCCTGTACACACACATATCCTGTATCACACAGACACATATTATCCTGTACAGAGACACATATCCTGTACACATATCCTGTACACACACACATATCCTGTACAGAGACACATATCCTGTACAGACACACATATCCTGTACACACACATATCCTGTACAGACACACATATCCTGTACACACACATATCCTGTACAGACACACATATCTTGTACATACACATATCCTGTACACACACATATCCTGTACAGACACACATATTTTGTACATACACATATCCTGTACACATACATATCCTGTACACACATACATATCCTGTACAGTCACATGTATCCTGTACAAACACACATATCCTGTACACACACATATCCTGTACAGAGACACATATCCTGTACACAGACACATATCCTGTACACACACATATCCTGTACACACACATATCCTGTACACACACATATCCTGTACACACACATATCCTGTACACACACATATCCTGTACAGACACACATATCCTGTACACACATATCCTGTACACACATATCCTGTAGACACACATATCCTGTACAGAGACACATATCCTGTACACACATATCCTGTACAGACACACATATCCTGTTACACACACATATCCTGTACAGACACACATATCCTGTACAGACACACATATCCTGTACAGACACACATATCCTGTACAGAGACACATATCCTGTACAGAGACACATATCCTGTACAGAGACACATATCCTGTAAAGACACACATATCCTGTACACACATATCCTGTACACACATATCCTGTACAGACACACATATCCTGTTACACAGAGATATCCTGTACACACATATATCCTGTACAGGCACACATATCCTGTAGAAGCACACATATCCTGTACACACATATCCTGTACACGCATATCCTTTACACACACACTTATCCTGTACAGAGACACATATCCTGTACACACATATCCTGTACAGACACACATATCCTGTTACACAGAGATATCCTGTACACACACATATCCTGTACAGGCACACATATCCTGCACACACACACATATGCTTTACAGAGACACATATCCTGTTCAGAGACACATATCCTGTACAGAGGCACATATCCTGTAAAGACACACATATCCTGTACACACATATCCTGTACACACATATCCTGTACACACATATCCTGTACAGACACACATATCCTGTTACACAGAGATATCCTGTACACACACATATCCTGTACAGACACACATATCCTGTACAGACACATCCTGTACAGACACACATATCCTGTACAGAGACACATATCCTGTTCAGAGACACATATCCTGTACAGAGACACATATCCTGTAAAGACACACATATCCTGTACAGAGACACATATCCTGTACAGAGACACATATCCTGTACAGAGACACATATCCTGTACGGACACACATATCCTGTACAGACACACATATCCTAAACAACTAAACAGCCCGGGATATAGGTCTCCAGTACAATAGTTACGCCCAGCAGATTGCAGTGTCTGAAGTGGCTGTAAGTAGTTACCAGTCGGGAAATGACGGCTATAACGTGCATATATACAGATTTTACTGACGCTTCCCAGATTCAACGGCTTGTGAGATTTGGGTGGTCAGCAAATGAGGAATACAAAACGCATAATGCACTACCAAAAGCATAATTTACTACTAATCACATTATTCAATGCTATAAGCATCGTTCACTGCTAATCGTGAACACACACATATCCTGTACACACACATATCCTGTACAGACACACATGTCCTGTACACACACATATCCTGTACACACACATATCCTGTACAGACACATATCCTGTACACACACATATATCCTGTACACACACATATTCTGTACACACACATATATCCAGTACACACACATATCCTGTAGAGACACACATATCCTGTAGAGACACTGCTAATCTTTCACCAGTAAACGCATCATTCACTAAGAAACGCATCATTCACTGCTAATCTCATCGTTAAATTATGGCTCGAATGACGTCAAGTTTATAACTGCAAGTTCAGTACATGCATTACAATGAAAGACGCCATCACCACTGCCACCTCTTTGACTGTGAAGTGCACCGCCTCGACCTGCTGATATCCCCACCCGCCTCTGGTCTACCCAACCCTAGCTTTTGGGCTTCCTGACAGGAAATACAGCTAATACAACAACAACAACAACAACAACAACAACAACAACAACAACAACAACAACAAAACAAAAAAAAACAATACAAATATAAGAATACGTTTATTTCCACTGAAATTCATTACGTCGCCGCCATTTTGTCCTGATCAATATCACGTCTCACTCTAGGTTTGGTTAAGGAGGAACTGCTTACTTTAATCCATCGACCGCTCTTTGTCTCTATCAAATGGTGAGTTTTAGGTGTTTTGTGGAATTTACTTTTACTAAAACGACTGACACCAAACATTCTCTCCGGGAAAGACATAGCCCGCTCTCTGGACTTTCTGTAGTAATTTATTCTCACTTTTTCCATAAGGGGAATCTCAGCGGTCGTTGCTAGGTTACAGTCACGTGATGAGACCTCAAAGGCTGAGCTCCATTTCGTGGCTTCGAGTTTCAACGTGTCCGTTCGGTTCAGAGTCTGTGAACAAAATGTCTGCCACATATGGCGAATCTCCTTATATGTTTGAACCTCTCTGAAGAAATGTTTGCCCTCGGCGTGTATTTTGTCCCAGAAAAGCTGATAATAGTGATCATATAGCATGTGATCAAGCCACGCCCACAGCCTGTGTCGCTCACGGTCCTTGGGTGTAAATTTGAGATCATGTCCTTTTTTAAGCGAATTACTAGATATGTACAAGATATCCTTAAACTCCCATTTCAATAACCGTTTCATGAGGACAATGGATTCATCAAAATATTCAGCAATAAGTATCAAGTGGAATGTGTTTCCTAAGTCTCTGATGAAATCTCGCGCCTGTGAGAGATTGCGAGACCACACATCAGGGAAACCGAGATCAACTGACATCCGGTTGTTTGTGAAAGATGATGATGCGTTTAGGGGTTCGTACTTCCGGGGATTCTTTAGGTATTCTGAAACCGGGTTTTCGCCATCGATGTTCCAGAGATAAGGCATTGGGTACACATATTTATAATACATGAACGCCGACACAGTTTGCTCAAAGGGTTCCCGCAGTATTGCGATATATTTAGTGTCTGGCGGAAAGAGTGGCTTAATAAATGTCTTATTGAATATCACATGATTGTACAACATGTCGTAAGTTCTGTTTCGCATAGGAGGTAGGACATTTCTACCGGTGAAGTGGCCATGTTCGTTTAGAATATTCTTCCGTAATGGAATCATCATTGTTAGATTCATTTTTAATCCGTATCTGACAAAAATATTCATCAAAGTAGTGCTAGCTGCCTTGTGTACTTTCAGAAATACGACATGCCGTACTTTGGTGTTTGATCCCACATGCTGCCATCCGGTCGTGTTTCCGGTCAACAGCCAGCTGGGTCTGGTAAACTGGTACCCGACGGCGTCTGTGTACATGTTGATGGCGATAACGCTGCAGATAAAGATGGCCAAGAGAGAAACAGCCTTGCAACGTTGGAATCTGTAAATGTAAACCGGAAAGGCGTTCAAAGAAACTGTAAGATATACATCAATGGTACTAGCGATTTTCCCGTCGCGTTTCAAACATCGTGACTCGAAGCTGTGTCCAGAAAGTTCAGATCAGCAATATGAATGACAAATTAATATCGAGCATTTAACAGCAACACAAGCATTAATGATAACAAAACGATGATCGTAGCTGTGAACGTTATGTTGACTAAACTAGTACTTGCAGCACTGATATGAAAACAGTGTTGGTAATCCTAAACATAACACTGCGATATACTATGACCAGCCGCATGTATAAGAAAACGTTTTTGTAGCTTCTTACGCAGCGATTTTACAACTAGCAGCACTAGCAGCATGAATAACATTGACTAAGAATATAATTAACGATTTGCCTATCATGGCTCCAAATGCTGACAGTCGATACTAATTTCAGAATATCCATAGTAAATATACCAAGCAAATATATGCATAAAAACACATATATCTTTGTTCAAAACTAAAACAATAACTACAAGGGTAACACTAGGGATATCATACCTTCCAACAATACTGAACCACGATTACACCTACAGTGGTAAATACAAGCACGGATTGCGATATCATACCTTCCAACCATACTGAACTACGATTACACCTACAGTGGTAAATACAAGCACGAATAGCGATATCATACCTTCCAACAATACTGAACCACGATTACACCTACAGTGGTAAATACAAGCACGGATTGCGATATCATACCTTCCAACCATACTGAACCACGATTACACCTACAGTGGTAAATACAAGCACGGATTGCGATATCATACCTTCCAACAATACTGAACTACGATTACACCTACAGTGGTAAATACAAGCACGAATAGCGATATCATACCTTCCAACAATACTGAACCACGATTACACCTACAGTGGTAAATACAAGCACGGATTGCGATATCATACCTTCCAACCATACTGAACTACGATTACACCTACAGTGGTAAATACAAGCACGAATAGCGATATCATACCTTCCAACAATACTGAACCACGATTACACCTACAGTGGTAAATACAAGCACGGATTGCGATATCATACCTTCCAACCATACTGAACTACGATTACACCTACAGTGGTAAATACAAGCACAAATAGCGATATCATACCTTCCAACAATACTGAACCACGATTACACCTACAGTGGTAAATACAAGCACGAATAGCGATATCATACCTTCCAACAATACTGAACTACGATTACACCTACAGTGGTAAATACAAGCACGGAATAGCGATATCATATCTTCCAACAATACCGAACCACGATTACACCTACAGTGGTAAATACAAGCACGAATAGCGATATCATACCTTCCAACAATACTGAACTACGATTACACCTACAGTGGTAATACAAGCACGAATAGCGATAAAGCACCTACGAATAGCGATAGCATCATACCTTCCAACAATACTGAACTACGATTACACCTACAGTGGTAAATACAAGCACGAATAGCGATATCATACCTTCCAACAATACTGAACCACGATTACACCTACAGTGGTAAATACAAGCACGAATAGCGATATCATACCTTCCAACAATACTGAACTACGATTACACCTACAGTGGTAAATACAAGCACGAATAGCGATATCATACCTTCCAACAATACTGAACCACGATTACACCTACAGTGGTAAATACAAGCACGAATAGCGATATCATACCTTCCAACAATACTGAACTACGATTACACCTACAGTGGTAAATACAAGCACGGATTGCGATATCATACCTTCCAACAATACTGAACCACGATTACACCTACAGTGGTAAATACAAGCACGAATAGCGATATCATACCTTCCAACAATACTGAACTACGATTACACCTACAGTGGTAAATACAAGCACGAATAGCGATATCATATCTTCCAACAATACTGAACTACGATTACACCTACAGTGGTAAATACAAGCACGGATTGCGATATCATACCTTCCAACAATACTGAACCACGATTACACCTACAGTGGTAAATACAAGCACGAATAGCGATATCATACCTTCCAACAATACTGAACTACGATTACACCTACAGTGGTAAATACAAGCACGGATAGCGATATCATACCTTCCAACAATACTGAACTACGATTACACCTACAGTGGTAAATACAAGCACGAATAGCGATATCATATCTTCCAACAATACTGAACTACGATTACACCTACAGTGGTAAATACAAGCACGAATAGCGATATCATACCTTCCAACAATACTGAACTACGATTACACCTACAGTGGTAAATACAAGCACGGATTGCGATATCATACCTTCCAACAATACCGAACCACGATTACACCTACAGTGGTAAATACAAGCACGAATAGCGATATCATACCTTCCAACAATACTGAACTACGATTACACCTACAGTGGTAAATACAAGCACGAATAGCGATATCATATCTTCCAACAATACTGAACTACGATTACACCTACAGTGGTAAATACAAGCACGGATTGCGATATCATATCTTCCAACAATACTGAACTACGATTACACCTACAGTGGTAAATACAAGCACGGATTGCGATATCATACCTTCCAACAATACTGAACCACGATTACACCTACAGTGGTAAATACAAGCACGGATTGCGATATCATTTATCTGATGAAAATAGAAACAAACAGCAACACACCCCGAATATGGCAGTGCCCAAGTAAACATTGACTAACAATTATTTAGTATTTTGCACAGAGAACATCGAAACTGTTAACTAAACAGTGACTAAATTTGGTATTCACGCTACAAATATCGCATCTATAAACAAAGCAAACAGACAGACAGTTTTGTTCAGTAAAAGGCCACTGGCCCATAATACAGACAGATGCATGGTGACACATCACATAAATGGTACACATATAATTATAAACAAGCTAAACAAAACATTTACTATAACTATCCTTCCCACTACGAGTATTGCATCTCTAAAGCAAACACTGACTACAATTGGTCTTGTCACTACGAATATTGCATGTCTAAACTGAACATGAAGTAAATTACTATCCATACAGATTTGCTAAATTTGGTATTAACACTTTGATTATTAAAATTGGTATTAACAGTTTAAACAAATACTGACTAAAACCAGACTTTACAGTATAAATATCGCACCTCTATATTAATTAGCATTGGCACTGTGAATAACGAAGCTCCAAACTGAACGCTGCGTATTTAATTAGGGTAACGTACCCATTCGAGAATCAATGTCAAATCAGCTAAAACACTAAGCCACAAGTTGACACTGCACCTCACAGATGTATATTTCCAGCTACAGCAGCATCGTATATATACTGACGTTCATAAGAAAGTATACACCTGGTGTTTGGGGACTATTCCCATTAAAACCATAAATATTTAGCTAGCAATGTTGTAATTGGGTACAGTATCTGTGGTGTTTTGGAAACACTTGCACAATGTTTGTGACAAGGCAGAATCAAAACACCTTTTAAATATTAATGCTGTTTTAAAGAAAATATTTTACGAATGAATCAGGTGTGTAGTTTCTTTTGAACGTCAGTTTTAGATACTCGTCACGTATGCCACCATTACTAGTCCCTCCCAGTCTCCCTGCCTGGTCAGCAAGCAGGACGAGTGCCATGTTGTAGACTGCGTTGAGTCTATCTGTCCCTAGGTCACCAACAGTAATGTTGCTACCGGTGAGGTGTGTGGTCTTAACGGCAATAATGTCCAAGAATGACATTTAATAAAAAAACAGGTGTTAAAAAGGTTTTTGAAAGGGAGATCTAGACTTGCTTCAGTCCGTGTAATTACCTTTAACACCGAATTGGGCATGTAGCTGTCATTTTATACCTCTACAAGATATTCACCTTATCGTTCAGCTGACGTCATTGATTATAGACTGCCACTCTGCGGCACATTACTTGTCAGTGATAGTGTTTTATCCAAACCACTATCTTAGCAATGGTAATCCATGTATCCTAACATCGGCAGTATTTCTTACAAACGCTCCATCAATGTTTACATGGAACATAATTCAGGATACATAATACCTATTGTGAGGGTCTACGTATGTAGGTTTACATGACAACGTACGTACCGGGTCTAGGTTCGAGTCCCTACCGGGTCTACGTATGTAGGTTTTTCATAACGTACGTACCGTTTCATCGTAACCACTCTTAACGGCGAAGCTCGTGGCAGCATCTGTAACAGACATCAACGTCATTAGGTATATAGTGATAGTCTGTTTAACTGAAACAAAGGGTAACAGCAAGCACTGTGGTCTGAATCGCCTCCCCTCGTTGCTATCAGAATCCGCTTCTCGTCCCGATACTGTCTCAACACAATACCCATGTTCATGAATCTACAGAGTGAATACTGTTTTAGTATCAACTGTTGACAACACTTGTACATGACGTTTGTTTTATCACAGGGATAAGGTTTTACATTCGTTTTACCACTGAGATAAGGTTTTACGCAGCCGTAGAACTCACTCCAAACAAATGTCTGGTTGTAAAATCAGGTTCAAAATTCCGTGATCCACCCCATTCAGTGGTCGGCGCCCTTTCTCCGCCAAGCTTGTGTATAACACACTGCTGCTTCACCAGAGAGACCACATCAAACACGTCCACATGTTCATTGGCTACTGACAGTGTCGTTCAAGGTAAAGGCACCGCTAGGTGGCGCTTTGCTCCTTTCATGGCGTTAACAAACTAAAACCACTACACCTGACCCTGGCGACACTTTACAACATCGACATTTCAAACAGGTATATGTCAAACTAAAAACAAACACAGCTCCAAGTTTAGCTGCACGGATAATTGGAAATTTACACTTATATCAGGTGTGTGTTAGTTGAAGACACCCGGGTGCGAGATGCTGGCGAGATGCTGGCGAGAACTGATGTAGGCAGGTGGCTGACACAAGCTCATCCCCCTTGGTAGATATAGAATAAACCAACTCTGCAATGAATGTAACAAATACACGTCACAGTGTCTAGATAAACAGCTCCAAATATTCGCTTGACATTTTTCGTCCACTTCAGAGTCGCTGTTGCATATTTTTTTCACCGCCAAAATAAAGTAATGGCAGAGACAGTTTAGATCAAAGTTTCAGTCTGTGGTTAACGCGATCTATTCTGCATGTAATTTACAGAAGTTACAAATGTATGACCGAGCTGGCAACACAATATCTGAGAATATGAATCGCTGTCTCATCCGAGATTTTCAGTTATCTTCGAAGCTGAGACTAGCTAAACTGCTGATGGCGAATGAGATCTCCAACTCACCTCCAAACAATCCGCCGGACTGATGTCAATAAACTACAAGCAATTTGTCGCTTGTATCTTGTCTCACAGATTCCCCAACGTTCGATCCAAACTCCCCAAATTCTACTCTCACAATGACCAGAGCGTTATAGTTGTTGGGGGGGTTGTAATTGTCGGAGAAGGAACATGAGCGCAGGTGATATTACATCGCATCAACATGGCCATGAGAGTGCCCGACATCTTGGAACAAACCCAGAGTTCACTACAGGCACAGCCTCCTAATTCGGCATCGATCCCTGAGCAAAGGTCGTTTTGTTTAAACGCGGCAAGAACATTCAACAAATATCTTTTGATGTCTCTCACGATGTTGTCGCGGCTAGCCGGGACGTGCAGGTTACCGGCTTCAGGACATAGCTGAGCCCGGATCGTCACTCGTATAGACAACTCATCTATTCATCACCGTTCCTTAGGTGCTAAAACATCATTCGTATGGTTCAATTTTATACATTTCTGAATCTGTAAACGATTCGTTAGAGTCTAACAACGTAAGGGTCAATCCCGAAGATACCCATTGTACATTGTACTTTTAACCTGGCATAAACCATTGTCCAGACCAACATTACGTAGGGCATCGGAGATGCGTAGATATAATATATTTTTTAAAGAATTTGTAGATATACGAATATGAGCAACATTGCTATTTGTCTCTCAGATAGATGAAAAAGAACTTACTTCCAAATATCTAAACATGTTTTGGTGGTAAAACCCATGGTCAGCCTGAAGATATAATCGTTGACAGAATCTTGTTCAGTTTAGATGTAATAGCAAGAACTCGGATTGGAGGCCTACAAGTACATTGGGGAAATAGGAATGGCAGACAGTGTATGTTATGGAAGAAAGCCTACATGGAATATGTTGTTGCGTGAAATATACTTATCATCAAACGTTTAGACTCACTAGTGTAAATATAGCCACTTACTTCAATCAACTGTTCTAAACTAAATTTTGAAAAATATTCCATACTGTTTAGGAGTACTGTTGACACAGGAACTGATGTATTGTAAAACAAATTCGTAATGTTGAAAAATTATTGTCATGAGTTCAGTAAATGATGAAAATCAGTGAAAATTGGCGAATTCTTAACAAAACTTTACACCACAACGCAGCAGTTCACATGCACGATATTTGCACATGCTTTTCTGCAATTTGATGCATGATCCTCGTGCAATTCATCTGCATAAAGTTTGCAGTTGGTTACCCCAAGTTAGTGGAGAAATCAATCTTCGATGTAACCATATATATATATTATATACACATAACATACAATGAGTGCTTTAAGTGAGTCTAAACTTTTGAAGTGAAGTATAGCTACCCCTCCTGTTGAGAAGCCACGCTCTGATGCGACGCATTAAATACTCCATCATCCAATAACGATTCCGGTTTGTTTCACAATATTCTTCCTTTCGCCCTGCTGTTTATAGTTCGGGATATTTTCATGCATTCCATGCAAGATACAGATTAAATCGTATGATATCAAGCGAAACCGACTATGAGATAAAGCAGTTATGATAATATTTCTATCAACTACACTTGTTAAGCAATCTGTGACATGATGCTGACTGACCTCGCTCAGGATGAGTGGTTGTAAACCAGGACCTGTGTCTGTGTTTTGGTGGGTGTGGGTGTGAAACAGAGAAAGAGACATTGTGATGTCTGTGTGTGTATGTATGTATCTATGTGTGTGTTTGTATGAGGTGTGTGTGTGAGTGTGTATGTTTGGTGTGTTTGCTTGGGATGTGTTTTGTGTGTGTATGTGTGTGTGAAAGAGTTTCTTTGGTGTGTGTGTGTGTGTGAGACAGAAAGAGACCGGGTGTATGCATGTGAGTGTGTGTTTGTTGTGTGTGTGTGTGTGTTTGGCGTGTTTGCTTGAGATGTATGTTTGTGTGTGTGTGCGTGAGCGGGTGTTTGTGGTAGGGAGGGGGTGAGGGCGATGAGGCATGTCTGCTCTGACGCCATGTACAGAGACACCAATAACACACTTACTTAAAACACAACTGAATCATAATAAACATTGAAGAACGCATCATAAATGTCAAAAATACAACGTACACCATGCCCCATTTCCAGTTAAAATGATACATTATCAACGTAACCAATCAGACTGCTTACTGTTACCTGCGGACGGTCTCAGCGAAGCGTGGACTGGAGACTTGGTATCACAAACTTATATAACATATTGACCAAAACCCCTAGTCAGCCCAGACACATGTTTGTCTTCAGTTCGTGTCAAGCGAACAAATATTTAAACAAATGCCCAGTCAAGGTATGTGCGAAAACGACATCACGCGCACACAAAACATGTTGCTCGGCAACATAATACTTACCGCATTTTACCATGAATGCTTGCTATTTCAATTCAGGCAAAAACAAACGTTTTGTTCCACAAATCACTCCCAGGATGTTGAGTGACCTCGTTCTGACATTTGACAAATGTTGACCAGGTGTTATATATTCTTTCTTGGGCCAGTCTACAGTTACCGGGTTACGTCATTAACAAGAGACGCGAGATGAAGTCTGACAGCGGTCAGGTGCTGGAGAATGAAGAGCATGTCGGCGCTGCACATCACTGTTGGCGAGATATATCGCCCAACTGCAGTCTACATTTGGTTTCACAATCTTGTTTCACAGTAAGCATCGAGGGCGTGAAGGTGGTGACCGTCTACCTCGTGGCATGTGTTAACCAGCTAGTAGACAGTTCTACAACCCTAAGCACGACCTCTCCACAGTTGGCTTCTGCACCGCATCAGGCGTTAGATCGCCCGCACTTCGCGAGGATACTTTAGCGAGAAAATATTGACTGACAGAAACGTTTATAAGGCTCGAGCGATCTCCGAGCGCGGTATAGCTTCAGAAGAAGAAGACACCAACAGATGCTCTCTTCGCTGTTTACATATCAAAGCATCAATTCCAGTGGCTCCCCGTTATAACGCGTGTTACAGCGATTCCCCCGCTGAAATGGAACCCGCAGTTTGAGATCTAGCTACATTTCTCCATCAACACACCAATATGTTTTCTTGTTCTACCTAGTACAACATGCGTCTAACCAGTACATGCACGTCCGCTCCTAACATGAACATGAATGTAATAACAAGTAATAACGAGGACTTTAAGCAACATTGTTCTGAAACTAAAACTCTCTTCTTGAACTAAGCGTCAGCTTGGATCTAAGATGGTCAGGCTCACTTACTTTTTAACAGGGATCTCCCCAGAATCCCAGCCATCCATTCGCCCTAGCAGTTCTTTGTCTTACCTTCGTTCCGTCCATCGCCTGTGTTCGAGATTGACCGTCATTGCATCGGAATCCCGGCCTGGTTACCGTTTCCTCATCAGCCCTGAGCATCACTCTCAAGCCGCTAACGCTGTTGTTTCCACTTAACTCGGCATCCCTCAAGAACGGCAGACTTCTGGTGGAGGAGGTTGCGTTTGGGAGATCTAGAAACTGTGCTCTGTTTTCCCTTTGTCCACAGCGTACTGATATTTGTTACATAACCTCTCTGGGTTGCCACAGCGACTCATACTGGATTGTCTAATTCTTGGTTTTTAATGTTATAACCTGTTTTAAATTCGGAAAATATTTTTGAATATTGAATATAATAACCTATACCCAGTAAATCGAGAATAAAGAAAATTGATTCGATGTGACAATCATACCCGTGATAGTGTTCATCAAGGTACATATTGAACACAATCATCATTATTAAAAGCTGATTAAGCTCTTCGTATTTACGTGCATGTGGAATAAGTCTTTCAAAATAAACAACCTGCTAAATACATTTCCCGGATATGTGGGTTTTGTTACTTGAGAGTGAAACCCACAACATTCCCTGCACAATGTTTAAGCGACGCATAATCCTAGGATATGGGTGGAACAGAACAACGGTTAATGGTGTTTTCAGAGCGGCTCTCGTGAACGCACCTCTACCAGAGAGCGGAGACGACATGTGGGGGTGATCAGCTTCCCCGTGTAATGGCGGGCGCCTCGCTCGGTGCTACTGGGGAGGACGGAGTCACGTGGTCAAACTTAATGGAAACAAAAGTCTGACATAATTAAATCAGAAATCGCCAACCGCTTCTCTGTCGATCATTCCAGTTTAAAACTCCCCTCGTCCTGACAACTCCAATCTTAGAATTAATTTAAAAGGTAGTTTTGTTCAAAGTAGAATTATCTCGGAAACCGAAAAAAAATCGATTAAATTTTGCCTATCTGTCAGGGCTGTTCTACACCGAGTCTCTGTGCACCATCACCGACACAATCCACGGGGGTCCTGGAACAGGCTTCGGCGGCAACGCTACACAAATACTGATGCCGGTAATAAAGTGAAATGATGGTTGTGTATTCTCTATTATTCACCATCAAACATGGTTGGGTATTATCTATTATTCACCATCAAACATGGTTGTGTATTTTCTATTATTCACCATCAAACATGGTTGTGTATTTTCTATTATTCACCATCAAACATGGTTATGTATTTTCTATTATTCACCATCAAACATGGTTATATATTTTCTATTATTCACTATCACGTGGTTATGTATTTTCTATTATTCACCATCAAACATGGTTATGTATTTTCTATTATTCACCATCAAACATGGTTGTGTATTTTCTATTATTCACTATCACGTGGTTATGTATTTTCTATTATTCACCATCAAACATGGTTATGTATTTTCTATTATTCACCATCAAACATGGTTATATATTTTCTATTATTCACTATCAAACATGGTTATGTATTTTCTATTATTCACTATCACGTGGTTATGTATTTTCAATTATTCACTATCATGTGGTTATGTATTTTCTATCATTCACCATCAAACATGGTTGGGTATTTTCTATCATTCACCATCAATGTCGGTTATGTATTTTCTATCATTCACCATCAAACCCGGTTGTGTATTTTCTATTATTCACCATCAAACCCGGTTGTGTATTTTCTATTATATACCATCAAACATGGTTGTGTATTTTCTATGATTCACCATCAAACATGGTTGGGTATTTTCTATCATTCACCATCAAACCCGGTTGTGTATTTTCTATTATTCACCAGACCCGTGAAGATCCGGGGTAGAATAGGTCTTCAGCAACCCATGTGCTTGCCATAACAAGGCGACTATCTTGTCGTAAGAGGCGACTAACGGGATCGGGTGGTCAGTTTCGCTGACTTGATTGACAAATGTCATCGGTTCCCAATTGCGCAGATCGATGCTCATGCTGTTGATCACTGGATTGTCTGGTCCAGACTCGATTATTTACAGACCGCCGCCATATAGCTGGAATATTGCTGAGTGCGGCGTAAAACTAAACTCACTCACTCTATTATTCACCATCAAACCCGGTTGTGTATTTTCTATTATTCACCATCAAACCCGGTTGTGTATTTTCTATGATTCACCATCAAACATGGTTGGGTATTTTCTATCATTCACCATCAAACCCGGTTGTGTATTTTCTATTATTCACCATCAAACCCGGTTGTGTATTTTCTATTATATACCATCAAACATGGTTGTGTATTTTCTATGATTCACCATCAAACATGGTTGGGTATTTTCTATCATTCACCATCAAACCCGGTTGTGTATTTTCTATTATTCACTATCACGTGGTTATGTATTTTCTATTATTCACCATCAAACCCGGTTGTGTATTTTCTATTATTCACCATCAAACATGGTTGTGTATTATCTATTATTCACCATCAAACATGGTTATGTATTTTCTATTATTCACTATCACGTGGTTATGTATTATCTATTATTGACCATCAAACCCGGTTGTGTATTTTCTATTATTCACCATCAAACATGGTTATGTATTTTCTATTATTCACCATCAAACATGGTTATGTATTTTCTATTATTCACCATCAAACATGGTTATGTATTTTCTATAATTCACCATCAAACATGGTTGTGTGCTTTCTATTATTCACCATCAAACCCGGTTGGGTATTTTCTATAATTCACCATCAAACATGGTTGGGTATTTTCTATAATTCACCATCAAACATGGTTGTGTGCTTTCTATTATTCACCATCAAACATGGTTGTGTATTTTCTATAATTCACCATCAAACATGGTTGTGTGCTTTCTATTATTCACCATCAAACCCGGTTGGGTATTTTCTATAATTCACCATCAAACATGGTTGTGTGCTTTCTATTATTCACCATCAAACATGGTTGTGTATTTTCTATAATTCACCATCAAACATGGTTGTGTACTTTCTATTATTCACCATCAAATCCGGTTGGGTATTTTATATAATTCACCATCAAACATGGTTATGTATTTTCTATTATTCACCATCAAACATGGTTGTGTGCTTTCTATTATTCACCATCAAACATATATTGTGTAGCTTTTGTTATTCACCATTTAGCACCATACATGGTTGTGTACCTTCCGTTGTTCACCTAGAAGGTTGACTTCATGTGCACCGATACACGTCATGGAGATTCGAAAGAACAATCAGTCTGGTCATGCAATGTAAACACCCGGTGTTCAGATCACATCATATCACCGAATACTTTTATGTTCATTGGTCACGGGTTGACGCTTAATCATGTAAGTCCGATAATCTTCGTATGGAGAGTTGTCGGACATGTTGACACCGGTGGTCGCGATGTCGATGAGCTCATCATATTTCCAACATTCCCATCTCCTTCGTGAACGGCCCTCCCGACGGAGACGTGTTTGACGAGGCTGTGAGGTGACAGACAAACTCGACATTTAAAGGGGGTTATCACCTTGGCTCCAACGTCAACAATGTTTAGACTTACAGTTATTCGCTAATGTCAGTGCAGGAAAACGTAAAACACCCCGAGACTCAATAAATACCAGAATATCTGAGAAGTTTCAAATGTCAGAATATCAGACAGGTAGAGTTTCAAACAGACAAGTATCAGGAAGGCAGGCTTTAAACAGCTGAATATCAGGTGGTATTTCAAACAGAGTAATATCAGACCAACTCATACATATCCTCAGTCCCTGAACCACACTATTCCCCCTTCGCCCAGCCCTCTCTGCAATGCCAAAGCTCTAAATGAAGCAAGTCTAGATTTCCTCAGGTTCTGTCTAAATCTCCAGCTCACTGGGGCTCCTTTTCCATATATATGGGATTATATGTTTCTATAAAAGTACATACATATTCAGAGACTAAATTACTGATGGTAATCAGTCGGTGTTCCAATCCTTAGCCCAAGTCGATGTAACGATTCATCAATGAATTAGTTCACGTGAGACACGGCCTTCGTCAGATGATGAAAGGCAACAAATACAACTTTAACCCTTTAATAACAGAGGTGAAGTTTCAAATATCAGAATATTCGTCAGGTGGGGTTTCAAGTGAAATTTTAAATATCAGACGCGTGACGATTCATATACATGTATCAGTATATCAAGTGACGTTTACCAGAATATCAGAATTGGTTTGCTATTTATGTGAATTTATCCAGAAGAGCAGCGTCAAACTTATTTTAGTCTCCCCTGTGTTGATTCCGGGTTAGAAAGGGTTAAAGCCTTCACGGTAGTCTGTCTCACAGTCCCTGAACCGCGTTATTTTCCCTACTGCCAAGCCCTAAATAAAGCAAGTCTAGATTTCCTCAGGTTCAGGCTAAATCTCTGGTCTCCCTGGGGCTCCTTTTCAATTTAAATGGGCTTGTTTGTTACTATCAAAATTATATATATTCAGAGACTAAGCATTAGTCTACCTTCACGGGAAAGGCGATGGTTAGAAAGGATTAAAGCCTTCACGGGGGAGGTCAGGATTAGAAATTGTTAAGCTTTCACGGGAAAGGACAGGGTTAGAAATTGTTAAGCTTTCACGGGGAAGGTCAGGGTTAGAAAGGATCAAAGCCTTCACGGCGGAGGTCAGGATTAGAAATTGTTAAGCTTTCACGGGGAAGGTCAGGGTTAGAAAGGATCAAAGCCTTCACGGCGGAGGTCAGGATTAGAAATTGTTAAGCTTTCACGGGGAAGGTCAGGGTTAGAAAGGATCAAAGCCTTCACGGCGGAGGTCAGGATTAGAAATTGTTAAGCTTTCACGGGGAAGGTCAGGGTTAGAAAGGATCAAAGCCTTCACGGCGGAGGTCAGGATGAGAAATTGTTAAGCTTTCACGGGGAAGGTCAGGGTTAGAAAGGGTTAAAGCCATCATAGGGAAAGTCGGATTTGAGTAAGCAAGAGGATTAAGTTAGGCTGATGTGAGGCTGGCTTCATTACTCCGCGTGATAGGGACTGACATGTAATGTGTTTACACATGGCTTCATTCCATCAAACTGTACAATAAATTTTACCCTGAGTCGTCATGTGCTATGACCAGCTAGGTAAGGACGATTAGTTCGATATAGCTTAATAGTTGGTATCAACACAGCGAGAC